CCTTTTCTCCATCACGATTTTCGGAATTTTTGATTGGAAGTGTTTTTCCTTTCTCCACTATTAATTTCTAATTCCCCTTTGGGCACACTAATGAATTATTTTTGAGCGGGTGGGGGTCGGGGTTTTAAGGAGGAGAGCTCTACTCTGCAGGGGCTTCACAAGGCGGGGGGTGAAATGCCCTGGAGGGAGTGGGGGCAGATTTTGGGGGATGCCCTATTCTGGGGCTGGGAGAGATGTATGGGGTGACATCATATCCCAGCGGAGGCAGTTTGGGGTAAGGGGTTGACTGAGGCATAATTGATGCCTTAGTGGAAGATGGGGGAGGAAGCAGGTATGTCCCAAGTTGGGGCCGATAAAGGAAGCTTGTGATCAGGGCAGTCCTTTTCGGTGGAGGCAGAGGAGGGACAGGGGGAGATGGAGGAAAGGTGGGGGAAATAATCCACAGAAACGTCCAGAATTCGGATACTCTTAAACATAAACAAATTGTTTCTGGTGGGGTGGTGGGCTGGTTCTGAGGGGGAGAGCTCTACTCTGCAAGGGCTTCACAAGGAGGGAGGTGATTGCCCTGAAGGGAGATGGGCCAGATTTTGGGGGATGCTCTATTCTGGGGCTGGGGGAGATGTATGGGTCGGCATCATACCACAGCGGAGGCAGACAAGGGCAAGGGGTTGGCAGAGGCATTCTTTGGGTGGGAACTGGATGCCTTTGTGGGAGTAGGGGGGCAACGGGTCTGTCCCAAGTTGGGGCCGATGAGGAGTGCCTGTGATCAGGGGCGGTCCTTTTTGGCGGAGGAAGCGGTGGGGCAGGGGGATGAGGGGGACAGGGGGGTATTTCTATACTTCTTGATTTTTCTGTGTTCTCAAAACAAGCACCCTTGTTATTCCTGGTAGTTTGAAGAATCTCTCGGGACTCCGAGGGTTTGCTGGCAGTTTGTACGAATCTACACTGGAATCAGACTGTTATATTCAGGATCCGTAGCTGTTCAACGCCAGAACGACGCTGGCCGGAGCCGGGGTGATGCCCTGTAACTTGCCGAAGGTGAGGGCATAAGGCCTTGTAGAGAGATCTGGGGATGCTATGCGGGGGCATCCTAAAGGACAGTTGGGGGTTGCTGACATAGGACGACACTGGCTGGAGCTGGAGTGAGTTGCGTCGCTCTGTAACCTAGCAGAAAGGGGATGTGAGGCCTAGATGAGTTTGTCAGAGAATAAGTCGGTTTTAGTGAGTATTGTTATGATCTGTTGGAAATCCCTTAGATACTCGAGTGTTCGGAAAACTGCGGTAGATTTCAGGAGGTGTTCAGTGATCTTAAAAGGAGGCCAGAATTGCCAATATAGCATAGTCTTCTATATGTTTTCACACTAATCATCATCATCATCATCATATGAGGGACGGTGAGCCCGGTTCTCAGCATTTTCGGTTCGGTCACTCCGGGTAGACTGTGAGGACCCCGGCCTCAAGCTTCTTGTTGATAATATCAGCCTTGGGCACTGGGCCCGTTTAAAAAAAGAAAAAAAAAGAAAAGAAAAAAAAAAGAAAAGAAGTGGCCAGGTTAAAGTGAGAGGAGTATAGTATGGCAGTATCAAGAAAAGCTTCATTAAGATATGCCAGTATGAGACCCTCAGCTGAAACTTCTGGCGGTATACAAGGAAAAGCACCGGGAGAGAGAGAGAGAGAGAGAGAGAGAGAGAGAGAGAGAGAGAGAGAGAGAGAGAGAGAGAGAGATGAAGAGTCACCTGAAGTATGTCCCAACGTCAAAATCGGCAAGTTTTGATCGACAAGCTGAGTGATGAAGGAGGAACTGCACAAATTCATTGAAGCAAGATTCACAATTTCGGGCACAGGAACAATGTTAGCAATTTAATATACATAGTATCAGGGTTGCCGCCGCGAACGGTTAGGGGCCCCGGGCCGACCCCCGAACGTTCGGGCCCCGTCAAACCCAGCTTGGGGGCTTTTTTTTTTTTTTTTTTTGAAGCAATTTTCATATATTCTTCAGGAATCAGGATATAAAGGTCCTACCTCTAAATTTTCAGGTTATTTCGTTGATCGGAAAAAAAAACAAAAAATCATCAAAGTGGGAGGGGTTGAATAAACTGAGAACCCCCCCGTGTTTTTGATTTTTTTTTATTTTTTTGGGGGGGGGTTAACGTTGTCAATGAATCAATCAATCAATCACCTGCTTTGATTGATTGATTGATTGATGGATGGATGGATCGATTGATGGGTTGATTGATTGATTGATTGATTGATTGATTGATTGATTGATTGATTGATTCATTGATTCATTGATGGATTGATTGTTTGATTGATTGATTGGACTGTAGCGGGGGGGTCCCCCACCCCTGGCGCACGCGTGCGCACACACACACACACACACACACACACACACACACACACACACACACACACACACAAACACACACATTGTGGGATTGGTTCCTGCCGTTTGGCATACAAACTGTGCCAAAGGGGACCCGAATGTTCAGGAGTTTAGGTTCGGCAGTTCGGCCAAACACTGCCGAACCCGAACTCCAGCTACCCTGCATACTATACACAACATTCCAAAAACTCCAATCCTCGCATCCTGTAAGCAAGTTTTTAGTGTATGGAGCTTTCCAATCCTCGGCTCCTCTTGAATCACCAATCCCTTTTCCAGCTATTCGGTTCCACCGCAGTGGTTAACACACCACATTAAAAGGGCAGGCAGCACCAGGTAAAAGAAAGATAATATTCCGCCCCCACACTGGTTCTTTTTTTTGGGAGCACACTGGTGGTTTTTAAGTTTTAAGTTTAAACTTTAAACCACCAGGTCACACGAGCCTACGTTGACAAAGCTACCTTCCAAGGCTCGCGAGCCTGCAACTGCAACTGAGCCTTTTTTTTAAAGAAGTGGCCTGCCGCTTTTTTGTTACGGCCCACGCCCAGTCAGAGCATTATTACTTCAGTTCATGTGAGCTGGTGGTTTGACTGGTCAGGACAGGTACTGACTGCACTTGGTGTCAGCCTGATCAGTCTTCCCGTGCCCTCCTTGGTCTGCGCCATGCCTTTTTTTTCTTTTTTTTGGGTCTGCGTCATGCTTGTTCATGAGCTCCTATAGCTTCGTGCAGGCGCCAAAGAAGATCCCAGCAAAACAAAATAAAAAAATAAAAAATTCCCTATGTTACCGGGCCGGATGTCCGGGACCCCCCCCTGACCATCTGGGGTTGTCCGGTCGGACAACCGTTCGGCTGTCCTCCCGGGGCAGTCTGTCCGAGCCCGAACGCCCAAAAAAGTCAAGAAAAAAAATTAAAAAAATCCGGGAGTTGTCTGAGCCCGGATGTCCGGGGACACCCCCCTGACTGTCCTGCAGGACGTCCTGCCATCGGACAACTGGTATCCTCTGAAAAAAAAAACGTTATGCATAAAAATAAACTTAACAACGTTTGCCTCAGGGTCGCATCAAGCCCGGCCGGTTGAAGAAGTCACTGGAAGACAATTTTCACAAAAGTTCCATCCATGTGTTTTTTAACATTTTTAACATTTTTTATTTGTCTAGTTTTTGGAGTTTTTTTTTTTTGTCTCGAATGTTGACATTCTTGAGAAATCTTCAAATCTCATACCTTGGGGCTCATCACTACCAATGGCTTGGCAAAGCGCCTGTGCATCTGTAAAGCGCGACAAAGCACAGTCACAATTTCAAACAGAGGGGCGTGACTTTCAGGAACAAGACATAGCGCGGCACACAAAAGATAGCCAGTCGCAATGTAGGTTGCGGTATAGAGACGAGAGACAGTTCGCCTACCATAAGCAGAATAGGAGTCGACCAATGTCAGCATCAAGAATAGACTTATTACGGTAGGAGTCCGTAGGACCTGATTTCTTAGGGATTAGTGGGAGCGGTGCATTCGATAGGAATAGGAGCCCTGGCAAACGAAACGGGACCTGCCCACAATTTTATATTCCTATATTTGAATTCAGATAAGCAGATCAAGGTCCCCCCCGCCCCTCCCCCTTCACTAGCAGACCCCCCAGAGTTAAAAATAAAATAAAAATAAAAAATAATTTAAATTAAAAAAAATCAGACAGGACTGTATTATATGAGCAAAAGGAGGCCAGGAAACCCTCCACATCTCAACCCGGAATGCTGGGGGCGTGGGGCCAATACCCAGCTTAGGCTCATCCTGCAAAAAAAACAGGTCCAGTGTCCCATGCCTCAAAATGCCGACATACTATTCTTCCAGAACATGCTGTAAAAACTGGACTAACAAAACGACAAAAACACAATTAGGGCTAAGCAAACCAACAAACAACAAGAGGAGGAGGAGAAGAAGGGCTTCAGGAAATGCTGAGTAAGGCAAACCCACTGCACTAGAGCTGCTTCCGACTCTAGATGCATCGCTGTGTCAGATTCGTAAATAAAGAGTCGGGTGGGCTCTCTCTCAGTGTTTGTCTGTCAATGTCCGTCCCCCCCCCCCCCGCCCCCTCTCTCTCTCTCTGAGTGTGTGCATATTCCGTCTATGCAGACTACTGCAAGTTCCTTGTACTCTCTATCCCTCTGCTTGTTTCTGACGTACCATTCTACTCCCCGCCCTCTCCCTGTCTAAACCCTATTCCCGAAAACAACCCTATTTCCTCTATTCGTGCCTCAATGAATTGCTGCCTCATTTCTTACTTCAATAGTATTCTTCTTCTATTCTGCTTTGTCCTTTTTTTTTTTTTTTTTACTTTTCCCCCCTTCTGTCTGCTCCTATTACCCCGTTCCCTCTTCTAAGGTTCTTTAACCCTAAAGCCACGTCCCTCTGTTTGAAATTGTCCCTTTATCCTTTCCCCACCTCAGCCCGGCATATTCTTTCCGGTTTCAGCGTGTTCCCTCTGATCTCCATTTGAACGACAACTTGGTTCAAGGGAGTGTGGAGCTGATCTTCTTTAAGCTGAATCGTAGCCACCTTGTTCTGGCCTGAGACCTTCTGAACAAATCGGTTCTTCAGTTCTGAGGCCTGTGCCTGATCTGGCTGCTGTAAGCTCAGCTTCTGTGTCCTTTTCTATGGCGCTTGGAGAACCGTTTCTAGCTGGTTGAGAAAAATCTCCCTTGTTTCCTGCCTGTGCATCGTCTCTTTTCGATGGTGATCTGGCAAAGACGCCTCTTCCAAATCATCCATAGAATGGACTGCCTTATCGACGGAAAGGTGCGCTTCTCGAAGAGGCTGCCATCTCTTTGGGAGGTCATGACCTACCATCTTCACCCGAATAGAATGCCCGGTCATTATCGCTGCATCTGGACCGAAAGTTGTGCCAAATCCAGCTATATAATGACCGGGCGTTCTATTTGGGCGAAGACGGTAGGAGTAGGTAGGGTGGCCCTATTCTCTGGAAAAGCAGTCTCTGTAACACTAATGGTTAATAGGTGGTGTCATTTTTTCGGCGAATTTTGTTCGCTGAAAGTCCCCAGAGGGGTCCTTAGCCTTTTCTCCCGTCGGCCAACTGCCTCTGGACAAACCAGAAGGCAGTGTGGCATTCTTTCTGGAACCCTCACCTTGTCACACTGTGCAGAGTTCATTAATAAACAGTGTTAAACACACAAGTCATCTGCGTCATGAAGAAGGCTGCACTTGAGACCTGCCTGCCTAGAACATGACACAGAGAGACACAATCATTCCCTGAATTAAAAAAAACAGGCGCTATCGAAGGCATCAGCCAAGCTTGCCAGACGGTTAGCAGTTAAAACCACCAGTACATACCGGTTGGGGAGGCCGTTAACGCGGAAGCCTAATTGGCCTGCCCCTCCAGTCCAAATTTATTCGAGTTCGAGGCCGGGGGGTACGAAAAATGCGGTAGGTACTGGTGGTTTAGACGGAAGGAAGTATATAGCATACCACAAAAGGATCAGCGATTAGAACAAGGGTGAGAACAACGAGTAGCAAAACACAAGCTGGGGAGGTTGGAATGAAGCTGGAGCTCTAAACCCTATTCTGTCCACTTAAACCTTAAACCCTTGCATGTCTGTTATCCTTAAAGTTTGAGCCCTTGCTCCCTGTTCTGGAGGGTTTATCACTGCTCTCTTTGACTCCTCCTGTCTTCCTCTCCTTCTATCTATCCTGTTCCACCTTTCTGCCTATTCAAGCTGATGCCTATTGGTCCCACCTAAATAATTTCTGCCTATTCAAGCTGATGCCTCTTGGCCTGAGCAGCAGGACAGAAGGGTCGAACACCGGCTTTTACCGGTGGTGTTGGGTGATTTATGCTGTGATATGTAACGTATGGAATCACCTGATTATTTTGTATCTGTTGTATCTTCCTTCCGCGTACAGTATCAGATAGAGACAAGAGCAGACGAAGTGCGTCTTGCAACACGCCTAGAACAGACCTGATCTTTACTCAGAAAGATATCCGAACTTCAACATTTTAAACCGAAAACCATTATCTCCCGCGAGTCCACGACTGCTTTCTTAGCGGTGTCCTGACAGAGCGCCCTTGCATCGTCTCCTCCTCTACGCTACGCGGAAGAACTAAACGTTATTCCAAGGCTACCGTATTCACCCAAATAGAACGCCCGGTAATTATCGCCGTATCTGGGCTGAAAGTTGTGCCAAATACAGCTATAATGACCGGGCGTTATATTCGGGTGAAGACGCTAGTAGTTCCTTTTGGTCCCGAAGCACATAGTCTTTGTTCCCTGTTTGTCTACTCGTTGATACGCGGAAAGCGATTCATCCTCCTGGCAGCTTTGGGTTTTTGTGACAAATCCGGGAACCCTAAACCCAACTCCTTTTATTTCCAACAAGATCTGCATAAAAACTCTGTACCAGGTATCCAGAAGGTCTTTCTTCCTTTTTTTCTTTTTTTTTTTTCAAAAGGAGGTCTTCCTTCCAATTCAGACATTTCCTTCCAATTCAGACATTTCCTTCCACTTCGGACACCGGTCGTCAAACTTCAAGGCCCTTCGATCAGGCCTTGTTTCACCCGCTCGAGTCCTCTTTGAAAGCTCCTGCATGTTGACAAATTTGAATATTTTGAGGGCCCATTTCCTCGCCAATCCTTCTCTTGAAAATTTCCTCCATTCTGCCCTCATCTCGCGGTTTCCATGAGCTCTTTTGTTTCCATCTATGACTCTCTGATGGAAATAATTTTTATTTTCCATGGCCTCCCTGCACCGTGCTTGGTTTACACCCTTAGGCTGCTCACCAGACCAGTGAAAAGATGTAGTTGGTTACTCAACTCACCAGGGGCCCTCCCCATCAAGGGCGGTATGCGGATCATCCTTCCTTCTTCTTCTATACTCTTCTTAAAAGCAGTAGCGGGTCTCGCGTAACGCTGTCCCGAACCCGGTCTCCCCGTGTTGGGAAAGAGGTGTGGGACAAGGCGCGGGCCCATGTGGAAAAGGAAGAAATCGCAGGTTTTTTTTTTCTTCGGTGTGCGCGAGTTCGAAGGGGGGCGGGGCGTGGTGAAAGTGTTTCGGGGCAGGTTTTTTTTTTTTCGGGTACCCCAAAAGCGTTTCAGACCGGGGTCACATGGATGTTGTTTTTTTGGCTCTGTGTTTTTTTCCCCGACTCCCGTGTAGATGAGTTCGGTTGTTTTTTTGTGTGAACAGCTGGAAGCCGCCATCGTCGGTTGCCGCTCAACGGATTGCATGCCAAGCGTGAATGTGTGTTATCGTAAGCGGGTGTGTGTTATCGTAAGCGGGTGAGTGAATGAATGTGTGTGTGTGTGTGTGAGAGAGAGAGAGAAAGCGTGAGAGAGAGAGAAAG